CCACACTGTCTCATCAGGACTACTAATTAATATTATTTTTTATTTGCTTTAGAAAATTAGAGTATTGTTAATTTCTAATTTAGATTTTGATAAATGCAAAAAATAAATAAATTAATAAATAATGTAGAATAATATAAGTCAAGTCTGCATCAATGAGAAGACTTCCAAATTTTGGACTTGATTGTGACGATTTTGAATTTCACAATTGACTATAGTAGCATTATTATTTCTGGTTCTTGATTTCAAAAGCTAACCTCCAAACTAGTCATTTATTTTAGCTTTTATTAGGTACAACTAATCAGTGTGACTGGATTCCGAAATTGAATTACACGGTACTCGATTTAAAATCGATCGTTATTCGGTTACTACTCACTTAGTTTAACACAAACACCCGATATTCGAAAACACGTAAAATTGTTTCATGTGGTTTGAGGATGTTTCATCTCGAATATCAATAAGATCAATGTTATGTACATATACGATAAGATTTAAGCAAATATAATTCGACTTATATATCGTATGTATGAGAAAGCCAAGGGTGATCCAACGCCACTCTTGCACTAGGCCGTTTCTTCGGATCAATTTGAAGTAAGTATTTCAAAAAATCAGCGAACAAATAATCCGTTATTTGCAGATGGTCCTCCAATGATGACTCGTCGGGGATAATATACTCCAGTCGATTTGTGTCCTAATACATATTTACGCACACAACAAAAAATTATGAATAAATAATTATATCGACATTTGTTTATTTTTTTCGAGTAAATTGAATCATACCTCATTAATTTGATACATGTCATATTCTTTCGTAAAATACTTGTGCGTATCGAGGCCATTGTCTAACATATCCACGTCAATCGGACCAATCATTCCTACCATTCGTGCAAGAAGCATTGCAACTCCTTCGTTCGGAAAAAGCACCTGCGCCATTCATATATATTTATCGCAAATTATCCGAAAATAAATGGCCAACAAAATAGCCGTAGAAATATAATAAATAAGACCAAATATTATACCTCTCCAGAATATAACTCGGCCAAAATGCACCCGACTGACCATAAGTCGATTTTCTGGTCATAAGGTAGACCTAACATAACCTCAGGCGCTCTATAAGAACGAGATTGTATGTACATAGACAAATTATCTGTCTGAAAACAACTGCTACCAAGATCAATAACCTTTATTTCGCATTTTCCATAACTTTTTATCAGAATATTTTCCGGCTTTAAGTCACAGTGTACAATTCCCAATTCGTGCAGGTACAATAACGCCTCGAGGCACTGCCGAGTTATCGCCTGCAACGTATGGTTACTTTAAATATTATTTTTATTTTTTTTGAAATTTGGAGATTAAATTATTTTTCGTATACCTGCAGCCTGTGCATTGTAAAATACGGCTCGGCGCCAGATTCCTGGTTGTATTTCTGGAATTCGTACAAGTTTGCTCGAAGAAGCTCGGTTACTATAAATAGATGCTCCTGCGATAACAAAAATATATATATGCGAAAATAATGCGATAACAAAAATTGAATTTAAATAATTATTGATGTATTATATACCTTATGATAGAAATAATCGTGGAGACGTAAAATGTGGTGTTCATCTGCAGGATCGTGCTTGTTGACGAACTTCAACAGTTTGATTTCGTCTAAGCATTGATCGAGAAAATCTTTGTTATTCTTGATTATCTTTAAACAAATATCGATTCCTAAATAAAGATCGTGTGCCCGTACGACTCTGCTGAAGGCAGCAGAGCCGAGGAATTCAGTGACAAAATATCGACCCGCTATAACAGTATTCAAGACAATCGGAAGCTCCTTATTCTCCTCGAATCCTGTCCTGTGAAAGGCATGAGCAATTAATTAGTTGCAATGTTTTCCGATGCGAAATCGGAATTTAGATTTCACAATGTGAGTAACTAAAAAACCTGTTTTTTCTATGTATGATTCTTAGGTTGAATATTTCGTAGTTGTCTTCTTTATCTTCGAAGATAGCACGACCTTCTTCTTCATCTTCGGTCTCGTGTGGTTCTTCACACTTTGTATCACTTTTTTCGAGTCGAAATTTCTCGGGAGATAATTCCCCTGTTTGCGTAGTAGTCGTTATAAACTTATCTTCGCTCGTGTCGATATCAAAATCATAGTCTTCATCTTTCTGCTTATACCAAAATAAGTCGTTCTGCATATCGAAATCGGGGTAATCACGAGCCGTACCGAACTGATCAGATAGCCTATCGGACGAAGCTTGAGAAGCCGTTCGCGCGACACGAAACCCGTACGGATTTATAAAATCTGCTATTGAATTAGATTATCACTTGCAAAATCAGATACGAGAAAATTGAAAATCATGACAAAAATATTTATTTATAAAAAAAAGAGGGGAAAATCAAAATAGCACTATACCAGAAGGTGATAATTCAGTAGTGGAAGAACCCAAACTCACGAACTCATCGTCGGAGGATCCAATTGAGCTCTCGCCGCCATGAAAACTGAACTCCTGCGGCGGCGGCGGCGGCTTCCCGGTGGCCGGAATTCTGAGCGGCGGCACCGTGGGAAAGAATAAATTGTCAAAATCGGAAGAGCCAATTCGAGATTTATCAATGATGTCCTCCATGAGAGCTGATTCACACTCCGATAAGCCATTCTTCCTCAGGAATTCCAACACCGCCTCGAATTCAACCTCCGCCATGAGAAAGCACAGAGAAGAACAGTTGAATAAATTCAGGAGAGGAGACAAAACAAAGAGAGATATAAGTGAAGTAGTGATGGCGGTGGTTTCATGGGATTTGGGTGGGCCGCCGCTGATGATGGGCATTGATGATAATCATCAGCGGTTGGGTTTTGCATGTCTGTTGGCTTTCTCTCTCTAGAAAAGGTGCTTGTGTGTGAGAGAGAGAGAGAGAGAGAGAGTAACGGAGGTGTGACTTTCTTCTGTTTAATTCTCTCCTCTCACTTTCTGCATGCTGTAAGAATTAACAGAAGCCAAACGGGGAAAGAGATCTCTTTCTTTTGGAGTTAAATTGAAGCGGAATCCGATTTTGAAGTCTGATTTCTGATTTCTGATTTCTGATTTCAATTTTCAAATTAGCGCCTTCTCTCTCTCTCTCTATCTCTTCCCCCTTTTCCCTTTTCTGCTTTAATAAAATAAATTGAGATAATTAATTAAATAATTTGACTTTATTTCATATTTAATTGTTCAATAATGTTTTGGGCCGTATAATAGCTATTAAAAATAATTTTTATTTTGGTTTACCGAGTAATTGTATATTGAACACCCACTATCTCAATTGTGCAATTGAATTATGGTAGAATTAATTATAGACCTTCCTTTGACTAATTCTATCTTAGAAGATGCCATTTAACTAGAAAGAATCTGTATTATTATTATTATTATTATTATTATTATTATTATTATTATTATTATTATTATTATTATTATTATTATTATTATTATTATTATTATTATTATTATTATTTCTAAACTTCAAAAACAAAATGAAAAATAGTTATATTTGGAGCTAAAAGTGGTTCCTTATTTTAGTTTATTAATTAACAGTGTTTTTCTATTAAATGGAAACATTGAGTTATGATTTTCAACTTTTGTTTATTGTTTTAATTTTTTAACCTGACAATAGGAAAAAAAAAAAAATTGACTATATCATTGTACCATTTGCCTGGTTGGTGTGGATTAAATGTAGTCATAAAGTCGACAATTTGTGATGATTAGTTTACTTACTTTGAAGTTAATAATGCTAATGACATGCAATCATGTTCTTCATTAAATAATTGGAAATTACTAGTAAATACTATTATTATGTTATTGGAAACCTGAATAATGATAATAATAATTTGGTGAGAGGTGTATGAATAATGTTAGAAGCAATATGATTGGATTATTGGTACAATATGTTTTTTTCACGGGGCATGCATTATTTATTTATTTATTTATTTATTTATTTATTTATTTATTTATTATTATTATTATTATTATTATTATTATTATTATTATTTATTACCCCTAAAAAATAATAATTTCGGTTCAAACATATTTATTTCTCATGGCATCAAACCATCTTTTTGAACTTTATAGCGCTGCTTTTATTCATGTGATAATGGGCAAAGAATAAAGTATATGGGATCATAAATATTGTGCAGCATAAAGTTCTTTTGTGATTTGAGGCTTCAAATTCAAAACATTTTCGCATCAATTTTTTAGGGAAAAATGTTAATAGCCAGCTGCAATATATCATATACTTAAATATTACAATACAAATTTAAAAGGAAATTATGATCAAGGAGGAGTTGCGAAGGAAAAATTCAAATATTTTGTTAAATATTAATCGAAATGAAAAGGCAGCGTCAATCAGTAATATTGATGGAACAAAATGTGTACCCACTAGACTTTTCTTCGAACCATACTCACCCGATAGTCAGAAAAGCTCACCTATCGTGGGATTTTGGGCCGGCGCAGATGTAGGGTTTTGTACGTGTTTAGCAAACCTTGTCAGTGGGTCATTTAGGGTATGTTTGGAAGCATTTTTATTTTGTTTTCATTGATTCCCCAAAATAAAATTGTATTTATTAAATTTTTCAAATCATTTTCTCAAAACAATTTCAAAAGTTTTTATCTCCTTCAGACATGATGTGACTGCTACAGTAAAATGATTTGACAGCTACAGTAAAATATATCTTCACTAAAAAAACAGATAAACATCACTAGGGGTGGTAAACGAGCCGAGCCGGCTCGCGAACTCGACGACCCGGCTCGAAAAAAGCTCGAACTCGAGCTCGGAATTTTCGAGCTCGAGCTCGAGCTCACGAGCTCGAGCTTCGGACGAGCTCGAGCTTGAGCCCAAAAGTAGTTGTTCGACAGCTCGCGAGCCGGCTCGCGAGCTGCCTTATATATTTTTTTTTTTTTTCTTTTTTCTTTTTACATATATATATATATATATATATATATATATATATATATATATATATATATATTATTCTTATTCTTATTATTATTATTATTCTTATTATTATTATTATTATTAACTAAATAGTAAATAGTCTATAATAATAAATATATCTAGTATTTAAATAGAAACAAATCTATATTACTTAAATAATTCATAATTATATAAAATATTATAATAATAATAATAATAATAGAAAATATATATATATATAACTAGAGTTCATTATTTATTTTATAATTTTTTTTTATTTTCCTATGAATAATTTCTAATAAAAAAAAATTAATAAAAAAATTAAATAATAATAAAAAAAAAAAAAAAAAAATTATTTAAGCCTGAGCTCGAGCTCGCCAAAATTGGCTCGAGCTCGAGCTCGAGCCAAAAAAAATTGGCTCGATGAGCTCGAGCTCGGGAACATGGACTCGAGCTCGAGCTCGAGCTGGCCAAAAGAGCCGAGCTCGGCTCGAACTCGGCTCGTTCCCACCCCTAAGTCCACGTCATCTTTCAATTTTTTTTCTT